CATGTTTAACTGCGGAAACTGTGTTTTTAGGGTTGAAGGAATCTCCCTTCCTTCACCAAACAAAAGCAACATTCATGCACCCGAACAGCTCCAGTTTAGTCTCATCAGACCAAAGGACAGATTTCCAGAGCTCATCCCCATATTTCAAATGATCAAGGGCAAAATCAAGTCTTGCTTTGATGTGTCGCTCCATGAGCAATGGAGTTTTCCTTAGGTGATGGCTTTGAAATCCACCATGATGAAGAGACCTCACAATGGTCTTCCCTGAAACTTAAATTACAGAAGAGGCCAGTTCAGCAGCAATTATCTTTGCAGAGATCCAAGAGTTTTTGTTGACATTTGATATCTTGCACTTTTACGCCCAGATTTGTTTCTAACAAGATGCGTCTCCTTGTCTTCTTGTGCTTTGCTTACATTTTCTTATTTATTTCATCTGTGTAATAAACTTACTGCATAGACAACAGTTACTTATAGCTGAATAGTCCGCACAGCACTGCACAATATACTTTACTTTAACACCTGTTTTAAGTGAACAGAAACGTAGGTGTGCCACACAGACAAATCCAAAAATCATATTTTTTTATTAATATTTGACTTTGGAAATGATTAGAAAACAACATCCTCCACTCTGTAAGTATATCAGGTGTCTTGTAATTGCCCACAGACACATCTTTTGACCATACATTGAACAACTCTGTTTCAAAATATATCCATGGGAAATGTTGGTGCACTGCTAAAGAGCTGAAAAGTGGCATGCAACATACAGTATACTGGTGTAGTATGCAATTCATAGCAATATACACTGATCAGGCATAACATTATGCACTGCTATGTCTGATTTACTCGTACCAGCACAACACACTAACTAACTAACTAACACATCACCACATCAGTGTTACTGCAGTGCTGAGAATGATCCACAACCCAAATAGTACCTGCTCTGTGATGGTCCATGGGGGTCCTGACCACTGAAGAACAAGGTAAAAGGGGGCTAACAAAGTATGCAGAGAAACAGATGGACTACAGTCTGTAATTGTAGAACTACAAAGTGCACCTATATAGTAAGTGGAGCTGATAAAATGGACAATGAGCATAGAAACAAGGAGGTGGTCATAATGTTATGCCTGATCGGTGTATATACATATGCTCTAAAGAGCTAAAAGGGGCTCTTTAGAGCAATGTCACCCATTTTTTAAAGGTTCTATACCAATTAAACATTTTCCCTAGAACCATATGCCCAAGCCAACAACCATTTAGGAACCTTCATTTTCAGAGTGCACTGTGTGCCTTTGGATCCATGACTTCCTAACTACCAGTAAACACATCTCAAGCTGGATGTTTACATTTAGGATCCCATTTCTTCAACAGGACCTTCAATGAGACAATATACCATATACCAAGACATTTTGTTATTGCATGCTCTGTCTGAGACATCTTAAGAAATTTGTATCACCACAAATACTGCTGGTATAATACAGAGCCATAACAGAATCGGTCATCACATTGTCTTTTTCCATTTGGCTCAGTATCACTGCCCTCTAAGCACAAACTGCATTACTCTGTGATGCCAAGAAAATCTCTGACTGCCAGCTCTCATGCCTTCACAGATATGTACTTGTCTAGGGTGAGGAAGAAAGTGAGGGGAAAACAAGAGCGAAAGCCCTGAGGACGTTGACTAACCAGCACTTGCCAGCTTCTTTCTCCAGCCAATAATTCTCAAAAACAAGAAGCCTTAACACTTATTACACACATAACTGGGCATATTTTTTAACAGTACCTATCAATGTTATCGAGTGATTACATAGAAGCACTTATTGTCTTTTACTGTTATTTGCAGATTTACATTTGTATATTATATACTTTTTATTTTATGTTATTAGAATTTTTGTTGACACATGCTCAAAGAGAAATTCATTGTGTACTTGGCATGGCAATAAAGTTTTTCCTTCTGACTCTGAGAGGCAGTGCACAAAACAACTGGAAACCACATTTTAGGAGTAATTTCAACACATACCACAAGGTGGGAGCAGCAGTCCCAAGTAACACAGTTAAGTATTCTGCATGTGGATGCTTTTCTACTCAGCTATGGTAATTACATATACTCATATTTGTCATATCTAATGTCTGGGGACAAAATCCACAGCAGAAGAATATTTTTATGTAAAATAATATGATTTAGATTCTAAATGAAGGGATGTGCACAATCCACATGTGAAGCATTATTGGCTCTTTTATAAATGTGAGCATGACTAATTTTACCATGTCAAAAAATGGAAAACACAACTAACTACACCTGTTATTTATCTGTAGATCATTACCACAGATACACTGTGGCAATACAGGCATAATTATGAGACATAAGCTGTAATGACATTAAACATTACGACTCTGTGGCAATTACCCACATCATGAAAACAGCTGAGGCTGTCAAAAGTTGATGTATTATGCTTAAACTCACATGCGCAGAAGTTTGTTCATATGAACAAAACTTGGATAAAAAGTTGCTGCTCACCTATGTAGCAGTATGGAGATAAAGATGCTGTGTGGAAAGAATTTAGCCAGCTGACATGGAACAAAAAAGACAGCAGATTAACTTCTTACGTTTACATTCTGAATAGCAACTGTTGGGAATCATTTTGGCAGTCATCTAAACAACAGGACTGTACAACAAATTCAGCAGTGCAAAGGAAACAAACAGACGAGTACATTTGTAAATAAGGTTTTTTATTAAGCAAACTGTCTTAGCCATTCAAAAAATGAATCCAAATCTTTTAGCCACTGTGGGTTACATCACAACCCAGCCAGTTAACGTTAGATCATTGTCTTCAACATGAAGTAAATTGTTTTCTGTTAAATGCACCTACATGCTGACTTACATGCCAAGTTGCTAAACTAAATGATGAAATATAACATAGGTACTGGTTTAACTTTTTCCAGTGTCAACTTTTAACATTCACAGTTTTGTTAGAATTTGACACTCTGAGAATCTCGTGTCAGTTTTTGACAGCGTCACTTATTTTGGTTGCACTGGTAATGGTAACAATACACTTAGATAGTACATTATATTACAACAAAATTTGTCATGACATATTTATGGTATACGTTATGTAGCAGGCAGTTTTGAATCATGATAATGCTAACTTCTGCTAGCGTCCATATGGGATTCTACTAGTTTGTTACTGTTATGCTAACACCAGTTTCATGAATGGTTATTAGAAGTTCTACATTAAACACAGACATATAAAATGTCTAAATTCCATGTTTTGTTTGAAGCTTGTGAAATACATATTAGTATACATTTTACATTGTAGCAGTTTCACAGTGACTCTTTCAGTAGTGAGCTCTGGTAAGCTGCTGCTGCTGTTTTCTATTTCTAACAACCCATTGAGGCCACTCATATACAGTTGGTGACAGATGTAGGACTTCCAGAAGACCTCAAGTGATGTTTTTTCCCACAAAATTGGTCCCACCAATCAGAAATCAAAATGTGATTGGTTGATTCCTCTGTTACCTTCTGACTGTGCTGATGTTTATCAAACCTAGGCCTTTTCTTCCTGGGACCTACAGAGAAAAACAATTCCTGATTAGCCAATTTCCACAGGGATTTCAAGAATTAATCCTTTTGTTTCTGGCCAAAACTTAACAACAAAACAAAAGTAGTATTGTAATTCTAGCAGTTTAAATATAGACATTATTCTATTGAATAAAAATGAACTAAAAATTACAGACATATGTTTTTAGTTTCCAGAAATCATTAGGCCTTCTCCAAGGGCCTATAAGATCTGGAACAGGGTTTAAGTAAATTGTTACCAAAAGTACTAATGCAGAAGGAGAATTTTTCGTTATTAAAGTAAGATCTACTCCATTCACCAGCATAGAATTTGTTCAGGGAATCCTTTTCAGTTGAAACCAAGAGCAATTCCTTAGCGTAGGTGTGATTGTTAGGATCAGTCATTCAGCAGTAAAAAACATCTCAGAGAACACACACACGCATACAACATGGTTATGATATAGCCTCCTAGTTCTTCTTCGTATTAAGCCCCAGGTTTGAGACTGGATGAAATGATACACTATCCCATTGTCCATTCATTCATCCATAGTGATCCATTCATATAGTACTCCTGTATTGTCTGGGTAGTCATACATTAGTAGGGTGTGGAAGTATGAAGTATCGATGTCTTGACGTTTCTTTTTGAAAATCAATCCTTGCATGAAAATATCAATACTGAATATTTTCTTAAGCCTATTTGTGTGTTCCAAATAGACAACAAAACTTTTTCTTTATGAATCACTGTAGATCAAAGCATCTACTAAATGCTGTGAATGTAACTGTAAATGTTAATATAAACTGAAGATTTGAAACTTTTTATAAAACAGAGCATGTCTTTAATGCTTAAAAAAGTGAAAAACTGATTGCAGTTGTGTGTGATGGAAATGACAGCCCCCACCCTGGCTCACAGACCACCATGGAGACGGAGTGCATGCTCCATAACGGCAGAACATATGGAGTTATTATGTGGCAGTTTATTTATACTGAAGGCTTTCAGATATACTACAGAGCCCCAAAATACCACTGAGAAATATAACAGAAAAATATAACATGAAAAATAACAGATTTCCAATGACATTGCATTCCTTGCAATATTTTTGCATTCCCTCACAAACTTTTTGCATTCCTTTTGTATTTGCAAGGAAACTCAAAATCATTACAAGGGAGTGCAAAGTATTGCGAGGGAACGCAATGTCATAAATTTTTAACATAGCCCCTTAAGGGATCTGTATAATCGGGATATTAGCGGGATATTAGCGTCCACCTCCAGTACAGATGCGGCAGCTCAAAATGAGCAAAGTTGGGGAAAATGGGCGGGGCCACGGGACGTCTCCGACCCCACTGACCAATCAGCGAGACCCATGTCCGTTTCCACGGGAACGTGAAGACGAAGTCTGCTCCTGCAGGGCTGGAGGGAGAGTTCTCCTTCACCAGGAGCGGGGCTACCGGGAGCTACCGGCGCTACACGACAACAGAGCTCACAGCACATGCAGCTAGTTTAGGCTGGAGTGGTAAAAAATCATTTAGCGCTGCGAACTGGACGACGTGTTAATTAGGAGCCAAACACGAGCTCGGTGCGAGGCGGCGTTAGCTCCGCCGGTCATTCCGGGTGAAGTGGACGCGGCTCAATGGACTTCTCTGAACGCGGGAGAAGCAGCGAGCAATGTAAGTGACCAGTATATCTCCTTTTAGCCTACTGTTTTAGTCCATTATAGCTGCATATGACTGTGACTATCATCTGCCAGCAATGACCTTCATCTGTTTCCGTACATTGCTCGTTAGCTGGAGAAATGAAAGGGGTCTTTAAAAGGTCACGTTTTACCTTCGCGAAAGTGAGAGGGCGCATAGGCTGTGATAGATAAACAGCCCTTTAATTCTCTGTTCACAAGATGCTCTCTGTCCATGTAAAAGAGTCTGTCCCCAGAGAAACACTACTCAATTTACACATCACTGCAGACAGCTCTTTATTTATCATGATTCTCTGACTGTCCAAAAGTTTGTAGACACTTGCTCTTCCAACGTTTCTTCTGAAATCAAGGGTATTAAAAGGGAGTTTGCCCTCATTTTCTGCAGTAACAGCCTCTATTCTTATGGGAACGCTTTACACTAGATGGTGGAACATTGCTGTGAGGATTTGATTGCATTAAGACACAAGCATTAGTGAGGTCAGGTACTGATGAAATGAAATGAAATGAAAAAATGAAAGGAAATGAAAATGAAACAAAATGTTGTTGGATGACTAGCTCTAGATCACAAACTCCACAAGTCATTGGATGGAGCTCCATCAGTCCAGAGATTGCAGCTCCACAGCACAGTGCTGGAGAGCTTTATACTCCTCTAGACAACACATATTGAGCATGGCTTTTCTATGGAGATTAAACAAGATGTGTGTGCAGTTAAATGCTTATGTCAGCAATAGGTGCACCTTAAAGTATAGGAAGGAACTGGATACTTTTGGACATTTTTTTTCTTCTGGATAATGAAGAAAAAATACACTATATTTCTACACTATATAGAACAGCATAGGTGATGCTTCACTGTTTTTATGCATGTTTCCCTATTCAGTGCCAGTGTGCCTCAATAAACGTTCTTAACGTGTCCTTTTATCACCTGATGTTGGCCTTTTTTAGAAAGTCTTTGGTGAAGAATGGCTGATACTGGCTGGCCTCTAAAAGCATCTGCATTACCTCATGAGAGTGGCAGTGATAGGATCTTGAGAACTTCTGGGTGTTTGGTGAGACAGAGCAGGGCACAAATTTACTTTGACAAAGTGGAAGTTTACTGGTAGCTAAAAGTCTGTAAGTTTTTGTGAAGAAACAGTTGTCACTGATACACTAGGCCATGTATATATTGCCTAAATTTACTAAATTTAAATTTTATCATACATAGTCAACTGAGTCATTCTACAGGTATATGAAGCTAAACTGCATTGCAAATCTACTAATAATGAATCATCTTAAGTTCTACTTTTTTGAATGCACAATGAGCAGGAAAGGGAATTCACAGGCAGGTTGCAAAGAAGTGAATAGTTCACTTTTCTACCACGTGAATTTTAGGGGCACCAAACAGAGAACGAGTGAAGGAGCAGCCAGGTGATTATGAATTAGAAACAAGTTTACTCTTTTATTGTTGTTATTGTTTTATGTGGTAGGTCAAATTCTCAGTCTGTTTTCTGCTAAATTCAGATCCCAGGTCCGATGCGGATCTGATCATTAATATGGCAGTGTGTGGCAGAGATGAGCTGGCTAGTGCTGGAGGAGCAGCGTTTAGCTCGTTCTGGTCTTCTAGTGTCTAATTTAATCACAGCAAGCTTTAATCACAGAATTTCTTGGTTCTTAAAGAAACATGTTTTTGTCTGCAAACCCCAAATATTAGTTTGGGTGGTTTTAGTGAAATATGGTGTTGATAAAATGGGAAACTCAATCATTGTGTTTTATTGATCACCAAAACCAGCAAGTAGGGCTGTGAGAAGTTTGCCCGCACTCAAGTGTACACAGGTTGCGAGATGTTCTGTTGTCACTGTCAAGGCAGCCTGTCTGAATAATGCATCCTTCACTTTTTGATGGTCCACTTGTATTTTACTGTAGACAAAACAAATTGAAATGTAATATTTGTAAAGAAAAAAAAGGGTTGTAAAGGAAAGCCAAAACAAGCAAACTTATAATATGTTTTTCCGACTTGACACAATTAAGCCATTTACTATGTTTTTCAGTGTAGCTCTGAAAGGTCTACCACCTGGCCAGTAAGATGGAAATGTACACTGTTTTCATGGTGCCTTATAAACAGAAAAGTTCCAGTCACAGCTCTCTGGATTCTTAGACACAGATATTGAAACATTTATGCTAGGATGTCTACTGAGCCTAGGTCAGGTGATGTCTCTGTGGGTTTTAAACAGACAGCGCACTACGTCAATAAGCACTAAACTTAATGAGACATGGTCATTTAGAAGTCTGCATAGAAGACCAGTGACACATTCAGGGCCTTCAAGCAATGCTCAGCTGATGTACACTTATGAATATTGTAATGGACTCTGTTTAATTTAACTGTAGCTGTTTTCCATTAAATGATTGGGTTAGACCAGGGCTTCAGTTCATTGAGTCTCCATTATTTAAGCAGGGGTCATTAGAGGAGTCATTAAGTGATTGCAAGTTATGTCTTTTTCCTCTGATACTTGCTGGACAAGTCAAGGCCAAGGATCAGTTCATTTCAAGCAATTAAGACTAATTTTTCTGCTAAAGGCTTTAGAGGATAGGCTAAGGGTTAGAGTAGTATTTTTCAGATGGCCTGAAGTATCTGAACTGTACTGCTAAAGCTACAGTTCCATCTTTATCTCACTGATTGAGAGATGAATAAAATATTTCTAAACCGTGTGTCAAAATTTAAATCTGATTGACGTCCCAGTGTTTTTGCACACTGACATTGAACTGGGTGTACGTCATACATGTCTGGTGCAGAAGCTGTATCAGGTGTGCACCATGCTTACTTATGTAAAAAGGAATGCTTGAAATTATACTCAGATAAGTGCTCATTTGAATGGACTGTTGAGTAATATTTGCTTTTCCACCATGTTATACAGAACCTACAGAAGATATTTTTATTATAGCCATTATTGAGTGATGTTTAATGCTCAGTTACAATGCAAAAATTATTTGACCTTCTCATTATATCAATATAGCTTGGTAAAAGCACAAGGTCAAATAAAGAGCTTAAAATGAGCAGTTTTTGACTTACTGCTGCTCCCTCAGTTGGTGAAAATGTGCAGCTGAGGCATGAATAGCGTAACCTGAGCCACCCATTCAGTCCGGCATCAGCTGATCAAAGGTTGAATGAGTTTAAGTTGTTTACCAGTTCAAATGTAAAGGTCTACTAAGGTCTAAGGTCTGTTACCTGGGACCTGTCCAATGTCATAGGGAACACTGTAGCTACAGCTCAACTTAAATGTGTAGATTTAAGGGGACAGGTGGGATGGGTCCTCTTCGATGTTTGTAGAGGGAAGACACTGCCAGTTTGTTATCTGCTGCAGGCTGTAGCTCTGCTAGGGTTGGGCAAAATGGCAAAAATATGTCACGACGCCTGAAAAAGTTTTCATGATACATGATACCTATTACAATATGTATGTATATATATATATAACACAAGGTTTTTAATAAGTGGGAAAGACAAATTTGATAAGTTAGAACAGACAAAAAAGTTCCAGCAGTGACACATTTAAAGGAATACAAAAGATACAAACATGATGATTACACAATGATTTTTATTTCAAGTTTTTTCACTGCACTAAATCCAGTTAAACAGTACTAATTATGCTCAGTGGTTTGTGCAGTTGGTCAGTGTTCTTTATGTACTGATGATATCCTCAATATGATCAGAAATGTATATTGTGACATAATTTATCATGATAATGATAAAATATTGTCATAAATGATGTCACAATATGATCAGAAATGCATATTGTGACATCATTTATCATGATAATAATAAAATATTGTCATAAATGATGTCACAATATGATCAGAAATGCATATTGTGACATCATTAATCACGATAACGATAAAATATTGTCATATTGCCCACCCTTAGCTCTACCGTGGATTAAAAATACTTATGCTGTTGCCTCATTCGGAAGTAAGGTCCAGTAATGATGAAGTTTACATTCCTTTCTATTTACATAATATAGTAAAAGAAAATGTCTGCCAGTATGGCAACTGAAATGCTGCTTTGGCACAAAAGAATGACACTCATATTAATATCATCTGATGCTGAATCGTCTCATGCAGTCTCCATCAATCTATTAGGAATTTTATCAGCTGTCTATGATATTGTTATTGATATTGAATTTAGAATGGTTGAACTGATGTAAATGTTAAAGGAATTGTTCTTAGGCTAAAACATGCAAATGAACAGAAGCACAACTTTTGGTCAGTATACCCAAAATGGAAAATACAAATATGACGTATTGCACTGCACTGTATCTTGACTTTCTTTAACTCCTCTTTTATTTGCCTATATTGTCAGTGACGTCTCAGCTGCTGTCTGTCCTTTTTCAGTAAGAATGACCACCTGTCTACTGAATAGTCCCCATTGTTTCTGCTAAAAATAGCTGCCGTTGCAGACGCCAGGTGATAAATGACTTAAAATTGTAACCGTCACAAAAACACAATCAACTAAAGGCCACCACACAAGTGGCAGGGCCTGGGTTCAGAGCCAGGAGAGATTATTACTCATTGCCAGCAATGTAATTAAAATCTATTCAACTTGACCCCTCATATCAACACCATTTTCTTTGATATGTGAGAGTTCAACAGTTCTGTCTGAAGTTCAGATGTTCAGTCTGCATTAGATTTGTGACATTTCATAAATAGAATTGCCTCCTAAAATAAGTTCTGTGTTTGCATGAAGATTGTCAGCGTAAAAAAACATTTGTTCAAGTGAACAACAGTACGATTTCACTCAGCCTCCATATGACTGCATGCAAGGTTTATTGTTTCTGTGGAACAAGTGTGTTTTCTTTTCCTACTTAATGAAGAAAAGCAGAAAATGAATGTAGCTCTGGAGCTGAAAGGTGTAAGGTCACATAATAAAATGATGTTTCCAGCACTTTTTATCCACATTCTGTCAGCCAAACAGAGCCCACTGGGATAAACCTCTGAGTGCTATAGTCAGCT